AGGGTTTATTGATATCAGTACGAACTTTCGAGCTCCCAAATTGTACAATCTCTGCATCCATTAATTTAAACTATTAGTAGGTAAGAAATTGGTAAAAAAATAGATCACATCGAATTTATACAACAACGTGACGATTAACAATAAAATCATATTTTGATTTGACTGTGTCTAGTAAAAGAAATATGAAATGAATGACACACTCTCACCCAAAAAAAAAAAAACCGGTTGATATATAACAAAATGTGACAAAAGAAAAAAAAATGCAAGAGGTATATATTATACGAGACACAAAGCGTACGTGATATATACCATGTACTTTAATTCTTGGAAACATGCCCACTTTAAACCCTCCCCCCCCCCCAACCCCAAAAAAAAAAAAAAAAAGAAAAAGAAAAAGAAATGCCCTCGTCAAGGTATCTTTGGGTAGTAAAAAATGGCATGAAGTAGAATAAACTACAAAGTCCTAAACCGACTTCATTATACTAAACAATTAGACCAAATTAAGTTCATTTCATACAGATAGTAGGTCAAACTACTTGGTTTTGGTTTGAACTGTTAATTATTAGACTCAGAAAGCAAATGCATTTTGTAAAATTAATCTTTTTTTATAATCGAATCTGATCCTGTAATAACATATAAATGTTTTTAGTAATAATAATAATAATAATAATAATAATAATAAAATGTTCCTCTGAATAGTAACAGCAAGGAAGCAATATTTATTAGCCTCAGCTCCACGGCATTATAGTTTGGTATGTTCATGGTACCAAAATTTAACTACAAGGGACACCGGCAATATACGACTATGTAGTATTGTCAAAAGGTCCACTTAATTAATAAGAACTACAAACTCCGGTGATTTATTTGTTGCAGAATCTGCTCGATAAAAAAAAAAAAAAACATATATAGGGACACATGTACGAATGAAAGACGGAAAACCGTACCGCCGACATGATTTTTATTACATTTTGATAGTTTTTAAATACGTGTGAAAAAATGTATAAATAAAAAATGACATGATAATTAAAAAAAAAAAAGAGAGAAGGGTTCATACTTTAATTAACCGATGAACGTATTTTCCTACATAAAACTTATGGTTTGTTTTCGTCGAGTTGACAGAGTAATGAACAACTATAGATCGGCGAGTATGTCGGTAAATTACCTAACCAAATGATCATAATAATTGCAGATTTTATAGTCCTTGTTCGTTGGAAAATGATGAATTAAATCTGGCACAGGGCATTTAATGGAAGAAAGAAATAAATAAATAAATAAAATATACCTGGAGTTGACCAGTGAGAGAAGAAGTCAAAGAAGCAGTGAATTGTTCAACACTGACATTTGGTTTGAAGAGGAAATAATTGAAAGAGTAGTCATTGCCGCCTGTTCCCACCACAAACAGGTAGTTGTTGGCAAGTGAAATTCCAGTTTTGTCCCCCAACTGTTTCTCCAAATCAGGGATTGTCACATTCTGGAAGTTGTCCACTTGCTTTCTCAAACTAAAGACTTGTCCCTGAAAATCAACGAAAGATCCATCTGTCATTGGTCAGTTTCGGCATATTGCGAATATATGGAACTCTCAGCTTCTACACACATATAACACAAAATCAATGTCTTCAACGAGTGTCCATCACGCTTAAATTAACTTATGGTCAATGACTTCGGGGCAATCACAGCAATGAATTCGGACATCGGATACATAATAACTTCTGATGAGCTCTAGGAAAACCCTCTTTTGAAACTAGAGTCTCCTAACATCTTGATTCAAGCTATGACGACATTAATAGAAGTGTATAATAGAAATGGAGCGCATCTATACCGTCTAGGAATGGAGTATAATGTTTTCTTATACTTCTTAGGCTCTATCTTGTGGAACAATTGATGCATGAGATATTTTTGTTTTTTTCTAAAGATTATTAAATGACCTTGACGTGATCAGTTTCTGTTTGTGCGTGGGAAAAATGTCATGAATCACGATAACACAAGGGGAAAAAAATAATGAGATAATATTCTCACGAAAGGTTTTCTTGCATGACTACACGGAAAATCTAATAGAAGGTCCAACACGTATGAGGCAAAAAAAAAAAAAAAAACAAAAAAAAGGAAAAAAAAGTGTACCTAAAGGCTAAAGGTTATGGAGATGAACAAATAATTGATGAAGGATGGCTGAATCTGAGGCAACCATGATATTTTACTACTATATACTAGTATATTAATTTAATAGTGATGGGAAAGATGCATATATATAGTTATATACACGCTGTTCCACATTGATTTCTATTAGAATATATATATAATTATATATGGTGGATAACAGCGGATTGAGGGTCTGACCAATCCTACCAAAACTCTATGTGAAGATTTAGTCAACATTGCGAAATCCGGTTCTACTTGAAAAAAATAAAATAAAATAGAAGACTCTCTATTCGTTAATAATGCCATGACTAAATTAGGAAATAAAACCTTGAGTCACCTCAATGCCTTCTTAGACAGGGAAGTTACAGATAAGATCTCCTCTATGATTATTTCCCTTTTCGATAATGGTAGTGATTTAGAAGTCAATCATAGATATGGCATTTGATCAAGAAGCCCATCCAATTGTATTTTCTAAATGTGTGTGTGTGTGTGTGTGTTTTTTTTTTTTTTTAAAGAACTAAAATCCAAACAGTTGATTTATTCATGTCAACTAATGGGGTGACATTTAATGAAGAAAGGAATTGGAAAATATATATCTTGAAACTATCCACCCAACCAAGCTAAGATCCATCAACTATTGGTCCCTTATTGCTTCGAGAGGTGATGAACTTGGCACTATGTAATCAATTATTGGTTAAATCTGTCCAAAAAAGAAAGAAAAAAAAATGACATATAGGTGGAGAGGAAGTCATAGAAATTAATAATCCCAACAAATTATTTTTTCCTATATCTGTTGCATCTCGTCGGATAATACACAAGGCACAGATACCATTTTATTTATTTATTTTTTTTTTGGTGGCAATTAATAGACGGGACCAAAATATGTCGAACAAGAGGAACAATGCATGAAAATCATCAAGATATAGCTTCATTCCGGCACGAATTCAAAATTTGCATAAAAGGGTACTCCAAAGACAAAAACTTGATCCCATTGACCCAAGATTATGTGTTTATCTTCAAAGACAAAGCAGCTAAACATATACTTCCTCCGATACCTAGTATAAGAGATTTTAATTTATCTTATGTTTTATCTAGTACGTATTTCTAATTAACAAAAAAAATCGTTAAAAATATTTTCTAACAATCAAGAGAGCACAACAAATGTGAAAATATATTTGTAAGGTTTTTTCTTCAATTAAAAATGTATATTAGGTGAAAATTAAGACAAATTAAAATTCCCTATATTAAAGACCAGAAGGAGTATAACACAGGTTAATGATGTGTATGTATTTTTGAACTTTGAAGCTTTGAAAGTTAGAGGACAAAAATAACGTCTTTATCCTGACATATATAGCTTGCCACCTACAGAAATAAACTATATGTGGCCATCATCAGATTAATAATTTAGTTTCCTAGTGATTAGATAATACTTGATGTATGATTAATATTCTCATTTAATACATTTCATGGTTTGGCACATTGTATTATACTTAATTAATGTCCAAAAAAGAAACACGAGAAAAACATTAATATTGCAGAAAAATGAAATGGAATATCATGACTCTTACAGCAATTGCGCCAGTATCATCAAGAATTCCAGAGCCACCACTAGCATAGTTCACCCCATTAAGAATCCTTGTTCCTGTGGTCAAAGGATCAGCAAAAACTGGAATGTAAGTGGGCAGATTCATCAGCTTCCCAAGAATGTCAATCACATTCTCCCCATTAGTGAATCTCCCAGAAGAACCCAATGGAAAATCAGCTCCATAAGGCAAGTAGTTAGCCTTAGCTAATGAGTTTTGGAAGTAGTTGTTGTTGCCATTGTCAACAAGAGAACTGCCAAACACAAACATTCCTCTAATGTTCTTTTGGCCATAGTTTTTATTAGCTTCTGAGACTGTTATGTAATGGCTGAAAATTTGAAGGTAAAAGAAGAAGAGGAAGAAGTAGAAAGAGGTGTTTGAAGCCATACTTATGAAGATGGTGAGCTTTTGGGATGCTTGATGGTGATGAGCTGATCAGAGCTCTATTTATGAAGAATTCTTGGAAATGAAAAATGGAAAATTTGCTTGTCTAGTCCCTGAAATCTTACTTATAGTTTCGTATTGGTCCGAACAAAACAAACCAATGTCGCACCGAACTATTTGACTCGGAGGTTACATGCTTCTAATATTTATTCTCTGAATTATTATTATTATTATTATTTTTTGACTTAGTACAAACTGGCGGAGGCATTGAAATATAAAAAAAACACTAATCATAAAGGATCCCATTTTATTCGAAAAGAAAAAAACAAAAAACTTGATGAACAGATTAGTCATCCTATATGTTATATTTTCTTTTAACTCAGCTACTACATTCTCAACCCGTGCCCGGGCGGCTAACTCATTAACATATTTGAATTTTGGTTAATGTTAATTAGTGTCTCAAACCAAACATTGTTAAGTGTACGATCATTGATATTCCATTAAGATTAAAAATTGCAAAATTTGCGTTCTAGTAATCTTCTAAATTCAGAACTCGTGGGGTTGCACACGTTTGTCCTAAGGGCTAAGCGATACATATAATCAGAAATGATTAATTGATTAAATTAAAAAAAGCCTTATTCACAACTTTGTGAAGTTACATTTTAGATTTTGGACGCACATCTGGGAAACAAATCTGGTAGACAGTAAATTGGAGTTATGTGATTCCTTCTTCGTTGAAAACCATTCATCAAAATATTACGTCATGATCTTTGCATCCGTTCCCGTTACTCGTTCAACCCATATTTCCTCTACTTCCATAATAACTCAAATAAATCCATCTTTAGTATTAATTTTTTTTTTTAAAAAAAAAAAGATTCGTAAAAAAAATATTCACCCCTGAGCTATTAATGAAAAAAAAAAAAAAACAATCCATAGTACTTCAGAATTCATATCTATTTGAAAATTTTAAAATTAGGACACCGAATTATTAATAGAATGTGTCGCGAGCTACGAATGCTAAGCACTAGTCTATAGTAATGAGTTTTTTTTTTCCCCTCTATTTGTTTTGTCGAGTAAACATCAGATGTTTTGGACATTGTCGTAAGTCTTCGTTCTTTTAGGATGCTTCTTTTGTTAATCAAATCTGGTGTTCTTTTTGGTTCTTTTTAATCATGGGCAGAGGGTATCGTAACGTACTGGAAGCAGCGAACGTGAAGATGGAATCTTACTGCGGTGCATAGCATTCTTGTGCCATTTTTTTTGTTAACATTCTTGTGCCATTTATCGTAACTACATCCATAGTACTTCAGAACGTCGTTAACATTTTTTTGGTTTCCTTTTTCCCTTTTCAGAAGGATTCTCCATTGATTTTAGTTCTCTGGCTTTCCCTCTTCTCCTGCTATCTACCCATCGTCTGCTCTTTGCCCAGTCTCAATCCAATTTGAAAACAACAAACTAAAGGTGCGGAACAGGCTGCTGAACTCGGTGTCGGTGGGTTGTGGTGTAGAAAGGAGTCTTCTTCGCCTGGATCATATTGGTGCCGGGGTCGAAGCAGTCAAAAGCGGAGAGGCAATCGAACAGCGCAGGTGACCGTACCGTAATTTTGTGGAATGGATGTGCAGCCAACATTATGCTACTCTGAGTGGATGTGCAGGATTCTGAGTTGATTGAACTATTAGGTAATTTACTGCTCTGTTTTATTGCCAAAGTTAGTTACAACTGTGTGATGTTTATTTGAGTTTTTGCAAGAGGGTGTGATTATTTGTGCATATTGCACTCCATTTCAGTTGCTGATTTGAGTGAAATTTGTATTATTTGCTGTGGTACAATCTCCACTGTATGATTTTTGATTGTGAGCTTTGCTGAATTGATTTGATTGCCTTTTGCTCCAATGATTTTGCTTGACTTATATATACTTTTGGATAAATCCGGAAGCTTTGAAGAAGGCTCTTAAAGAGCAGTAAACTGTTGTGCTGTTATGTCTAGAAAAGCGAGTTGATTCATTACTAGTACTAGTAATACTTTTCGTGAATGAAGAAGTGAGGGCCTTTCAATCATTTGTTGCAGTAAGTAGTTTTGTTGCTCTTGCTTGTGATTACTTTGGATTCTTATTTTTCAACCTTCAACATTTATTTTCATAAAACTGTTTTTATTTACTTTACCTGTAATTTTCTGATGAAAAAGTTCTAATAATGTGACTATTTGAAAATGAGTTCCTATCGCCATAATGACCCGATGAGAATAACTCTAGTGTGTACAATAAATGTTCTCACTTTTTTCATAAAATATTCATGAATAAAAATGATACTTTTCATATCATGTGTATCCAAGTTTTACAGTTGTTTTTTTAAAATTGGAAGATGAATGCAAATAAGAAGTCTAAAGACCATATTCATACCGATTTAAAAATAATGTTTATGAGAGTTATGCAAATAATATTCACCAATAGTGTTGAGTTTGTTGATGTTCGGGTGATTGTTTTTTGATGTTAGGGTGCTCAATGGGGTATGAACTATGGGGTGGTTATACAATTTTGAAATAATTTGTGGTGGTATAGAGTAATTAGGGTGGGATTGGGCGTGGATTCGAATTTGCCATTAGATTGTTGTTTAGGATGTTCTCTGTTTTTCTTCTTATTGATTATAGGCTTGAAATGATTTAGTTTCGCGTTGGTTCCTGGTTTTTGTTCGATTAGGATGGGCATTAGTCAATTTGCTAACACAAGCATGACCGGAATGTTTAAAGCTTTTCCATACCCTTACTAACTTAGGCAGCCCGAAGCTCAATTACTTACAAAAGATTAGCTAGTCCATCCTGGGGATAGCAAACCAGCCAGTTACTCAAAGAAGCAAAAGACAGCAAACCCCCCGTCGAACAATTCTTTGCAGGAGGTGATGATCATGCACTTCCGACACGAACCACGTGTAAGATCGAATCTTGCATTTTTCTCGTGCCAACCTGCTGAAACAGAATGAAGATTGCAAGGTTCAGACTTAAGAAACCACCAAGTTAAGAGAAGAATTTAAAGAGCAGAGAACATGACAAATCCCCAGTAGAATACACCCAAACTTTGATGCTTAAAGCTCATCCTCATCATTTTCTTCTCTCTAGTTTGCCAGATAATCAAACTTAGCAGCACATGCTTGTGCAACACGAAACCAAATAGTATCCAGTGCATTTACCTGGTACTGTTGCGGAGACATGGAAGAGAACTCTTCAACCCCATCCTTTTTTATTACGGCACAGAAAATACCCCGATCTGCATCAACATCCTTTGCCCGAAAAAACAAGAAGTAAGATACAGCACCGGCAACCTCTAATTTGCTCGCACACAAAACCTTCTCGAGACGAATTTTTTTATTGACCTACCACAATCATTTTGAGGTTTCAGTTGACCATAAAATCAAAAACCAAAAGGTACCAAAGTAGTTATGGGGAAGAAGGCTTACAAATCCAAAGTTAGATAAGCATAACCCAACAAACTGATGCTACATACACACAGACAGATATAAAAAACACAGACAGAAAAAGGTCGGACCAGGTTGTAATTGTTTTCTATCACCGCCGACGAAGCATAGTCGTACAAAGTATAGTTATTGATCTGTTCATTATCCTCAGCGTCGATAGGGACAATTGCATCACTTGCAACAGTAGAATGTGTATAATTTTTTGTTTCCCCTCGCATATCAACGCCTTGACAGTCCACCGAGTCCAAACATCTGAGCAGAATAAATAATCAAACCATAGAACACGAATCGAGTAAAAATAAGAAAAAGCACAAGTTTCAGAGAAAATGATGACACCTTGGTCAAGTCATTGTCGCAAAAAACAAGTAATATCTCCAATAGCTAGTGACCATAAGTGTATTACCATAAATCAAGTAAAAAAAGGTGATGACTGGAGAACAGGGATAATCATTCATGTTCCCGAAAGCAGAAAAATGGTAGCTATAAAATTACGGCTGTCTTAACATGAATTTTGCGCCGATATAAAATTTGGATTTGCATCTCTTCTTTTCAACTGTATGAATTTCATCATGTTTGATCCAGGAGAGTTCCAGAAATATGGGTAGCTCCATGTTAGGTCTTAGGAAATAGCTAGAATCTTCTAAAATTTAAGTTTCTTCCATTTAGATTCCTGTTTAAATTATATTATGTTTGTTTTTACTTTGTTAGTTTGGATAACTAGTTAGTAGCTTAAGGAATGAATAAGGCAGCTATATAAATAGAGAGGTTCTGCCATAGTTGTAAGGACATTTTATATCAATTTATTTCAGCCTCAGAAGCTTTTAAAGACTATGCCTTGTAACCCTGAGAGCAAGGGATTGATAGGTCGTTTCAGTCACCTGTTCCCATGAATGTTACAAAAAGAAACTTGCAGCCAGAAACATCCCCACGTTATTATCTTCTAAGAAAGGTCAACTATTCTTCAGGTATTGCCATGCTTAATTATAAAGTCACCAAAGGAAAGAATCAAAAAATTAAAGGAAAAAAAATATATACTATAGGAGAAAATCATAAAGTTAATATAAGATGGGCCTCATTCAAGCAACATGTTTCTATGTATTCAAACTTTTGAGGACAAAAACACAATCAGCACTCAGCAGCGAAGACGCTAACCAGAAATGAATACAAAATAACGGTATCCAACAACGGTTGTCAGCATGGAAATGCAAAAAATGTATATCTGACATATCAGAGGACCAAAACATCTATTGGAAAAAGTCTAAGTTCACAACAAAAAGCCATCCCAGCCTAGTTACTATATCGACAATCTCATAATTCGGACAAATACAAACTTGATAAGCACTAAATAGTGAGACTGATTCCAAGGGCATTTTACATTCAGAGATAGAAACAACAAGCGATAGAAAGGCTGTAAGTACCAAAACAGCAGTAGCAGGTATACCAGCAAAACACAAGAGCAGCAAAATAATGCACATTGTACAAAGAAAGTTTGTTTTTAGCCAGTAAGAGTAGGACAGCGAGACTGCAGATGAAATGCTTTTTTATTTTTTATTTTTTCCCCCCTCAAAACAGAAAAACTGCCATATTGTACAAAATTTCCTGAATTCCAATCAAATAAGGGGCTCTATAGGTAAATTAGTTGAAGCCCTTAACATTACAAGACATAAAACACGTAAACATTCAATCTTTCTACAGATAAAATTTGCAAAAGCAGTTAATATCAAAGCTTGTTCATGTCACCAACCTTGGGCAGGGAAAGGAGGACTCACTGACCAGCTGCCAGTCTAGTAACGTCTTCTCCTGTTTAAAGGGGTTGTGCTGAACCAGTGCATGATAAACATTTAAGCTGCCGCCTGTCTCAGGAATCCCCTCCAATATTAAGCTATAGATGCAAATGCCAATTCGAAGGGCGCTGGCCTTCACTACTCTTGAAGAAATAACCTGACACAATATCAATCCAATCAATCCCCAGCCCTATGAATGAAATTGGATCGAACTACAATAGCTTCGGGGGTGGAAAAAGAAAAGGTTACATAAATAACCCAAAAAAAATAAATAAATAAATGACCCAACCTTCCCAGTAGAAGCAAAATGTTCATTATAAATGTTTATAGCATAATCAGCAGCATATAACACCCCTCTATCGTCGTTGGCGCAGGAAACCGGAGTGAGCCGGTCACTTAATTCCGTCGATTGCAAAGAGCAGTAGTGCTTGCGGCTGGCCGGAAAATCAAATGACGCCGGCCACACATCCACATTATTATGGGAGCTATGAAAATGACTGCTGCTGTCGACTCCACCCAAAACTGATGAAAACTTGCCATTTACAAGTCGACGATGATGATGATTTCCCCGACACGATGCCCATGTTTTTGCTGCTTTGTTCAACACTGCTCGTAATCGTACAGCCGCCGACGCCATTGCAAAACTTCATCCCCAAATTACAATTGCAATTTTGGACGGTCAGCCCTAGTATAAGATGATTCTGTTAGGCCTGTCAACTACTCCTTAATTGGTCCATGAATCACAGTTGGCTTCCTTCTGTTAGTTTTGGCTGGATTCTTTCAAATTTATGGTCGGCAGTTTGGGCTGGCCTTGTTCTCTTGGACGCTAAAGATGGGTTTTTTTTTATTTTTTTATTTTTTTATTTTATGAAAGTTGAATTTCATTCCACTGGAATATGAGTTAGGTACGATCACTAATTTTTCCAAAAAATCTCTACACGAAAGATATTTACTTTCTACTACTATATATATTAATATAAACAAAAGATCACCACATAAAATATCAAAATCTAGAATCTCGAGGAGATTTTCATTGTATTACACCAAGGCTTGTTCTTGGAAATATTTTCATCTTCGTTATCTTGGACAGATTTATTTTTAAAGAGAAGGAAATATTCTAGATCATCTTTGCTTCAGAGACTCTTTTTTGGCGAAAAAAACCTGATTTCTCACCTCCCAAATACGATAAATCGCAGCTGCTATCACTCCTCTAGTAATACAATCGCGCACAGGTTTGAGCCGTATTTCTCCAAGAACTCTCAAAGGATAGCGAGTGGAATGACAAAATATCTACACCAGCCAAAACCATAGCTTTGGTGATAATATGAATGGAGAATAAACATTCAAAAAAATATGCTCCATATTTTCCTCCTCCATCATGCATAGGGTCTTGAAGGCACAAATATAGGCCCACATGTGGTTTTATCTCAAAACCAATTAGTTATGAGAGGAGTAGCACATGGGGTATATATATTGGACTCAAGTGTTTCATTCCATCCATGTGGGACAAGAAAACATGAGACATATTTTCATTCTTTCATTCATTTTAACACGCCTGACACCTCTCTCAAGCCCAATGAACTTGTACGGGGGTAATTTTATAAATTTTTTAATTAATTTTTCAGTCTTGCAATCGGTTAATTTTCCGGATAAACTGCCGCCTGCCGGGTCAGTCAAAGTTCAAAGTCAAAGCCCGAATCTGGACAAGTCAAAGGTCCAAATCAGTCAGTCAACCTCACCCTACAAGTCCCACAGGTCCACGAATAAAATCCATTCTAATACCATCTTGAAGGCCCAAAGATACGCTTACATATGGTTCCACCTCAAAACCAATTAGTTATGAGGGGAGTAACACATTTGGTGTATATGTTGGATTCAAGTGTTTCCTTCCATCTATGTGGGACAAAGGAAGATGAGGCATATGTTCATTCTTTCATTCATTTTAACAAGGGGACATCTACTATCAAGCATTGGATCATATTTTGGCAATTTTATCTCTAGTCTTCAACTTGTCCAAACAAGCCAATCAAGTAATATAACCTTGCTTTGGGAAGATAATAGTAAAGATGGGGTTGTCTGTTCCAAAATAAGAAACTCTTAGGACCTAAATAAGATATTTCTTTCTTCTTGTTCAAATTTTTTTCCATTCGAACAAGCGGCGAGTATCTTTGCGGTGTTGATGCATCCAAGAATACAAACCCAAATTAGGTAGGTCAATGGGCTTTCCTCAAGTTGTATGGTTCTACAAGGACATATCTTCTAATACTATTTATTTCTACGTTGGAAAATGGACAAGTTTGTTGGCTGCGTAATACTTAGCTAGTTAGATTTGTAAAAAGGTTATCATTGTTAAGATATTACTAAAAGCAATTGATAAATACATAATTATTTTGTTATAAAAAGCATAAAAAATTTTCAATTATCAATAATAGGGAAAACCTCAGCTTTGGTTCCCAAAGTTTGGGGGTCACTTGATCTAGTCACCATTAATTTTTTTTCAACAAAATTAGTCCCCTAAAAATATCATCTCACCAATTTTAATCTTTTTAACAGATTTTAGAAGATTTTAACAGCAGCTAACATCTCTCCGTTAACTCCATAATATTTTACTACTTTCTTTCACCGAGTTGTCTTTGACCGAGAGATTAAGAAAATAAATAAATACATAACAAAAATCAATTTCCCCTTCCTATATGATCATCTTCTCCCCTCAGAAATTTAATTAATCATCTCCAATGGATCCAAAAAATTTCCCTCACACCAACTAATCCTCTAATTCATTCTCACATTCAATCTCAGGTTACATCAATTTGATTTATAGCATTCATCTGACTTGTGCTAGACAAGGCCAACAACGCTTTGTAATCATTGACAGTGGGATCGAAGTGATCAAGACCTCTTTATCCCTTCTAACTTTTGTTTTTGCAGGATAATGGGATCCATCATGTCCTCCTCCAAACCAATCCCTCTTCGGTTCCAACCGGAAACGCGGATCAAATTTTTAAATATCCTTAATCCCATGTTTATATAACAAGAATTGATTTATGGGATATGTTGTTTTGAGGTTAATGTTATCGATTTTGGATTTTCATCTTTTTTTTTGGTGTGGGCTTTTTTTTGTTTGGTTTTTGGTACGTGGATCCGAGGATTATTCAAAGATTGGAGCTTTAGGTTATTGAATAGGAAAATGTTTTTTGTGGTTATGGTTAGAAAGATTAACTGGGTCTGGCTTTGAATAAAGAGGGAGCAAATTTAGCATTTTGTTTTTTTCATTGGCTTGATAAATTTGCTGCAATTTTAACGATAGATCATGTTGTTGGTGGCAAGTTTGAGGTTGGGAGGAATATGGCAGTCGATCATTTGGAATCGGAGAGTCTTTATCTGCTGCAATTGTAGGAAAAAAAATAATACAACATTAAAAAAAATTTGTTTCAAAGACTGGTGGGGCCCACACAATAAGAAAATAATAAAATATTGTGGGGGTTGGCGGCTGGATGATAGACTCCGTTAAAATCTTCTAAAATCTGTTAAAAAGACTAAAATTAGTGAGATGACACTTTTAGGGGACTAATTTTGTTGAAAAAAAATTACTGGTGACCAGGTCAAACTACCCCCAAACTTAGGGGACCAAAGCTGAGGTTTTCCCTCAATAATATCTAAAACACTTGTTTTTTTTTTTTTTTGCTTTTCTTTTTGTTTTTAATCTCAATATCTAAAACACTCATGGTTGAAATGCTTTTGTAAGTCATAACTCATATCTCACATTTTTTCTTGAGAAACAAATTAATTTACTATTAACTCAATGTGGTTTACTTACAATTTCATCGTACAGTTGAGGATTTAACAGTGCTTACTATCCGTAGACGTTTATAAATTATAAAGACAAGAAAGAAAGAATCAGAGAGTCCTGATGTTTGAATAACTGCTTCATTCATCGAGGTGTCTACTGGGAACGGGACTGATGTTTGCAGTGGGATATTTTTGATAATATTGTAGAGTGAGCAACTCTCCATTCATCGAGATGTCTACTGAGAATGGGACGATGTCCAATAGGATATTTTTTATAATATTGCCGAGTGTTCACCATCGGTAATAGTGACTAATCCCCTCGCTCATGGCAGGCACCTCGATGGGTGGGAGAGCTGGCCAAAAGATTTAAGGTTACTCCATACCCATGGCGAGATTCAAATTCTCAACCTATGGTTAAGGGTGGAGGAGTATTTACCACTTCACCACAACCCCTTTGATTAGATATTTTTGATAATGCATCAAGCTTTGGGGGTGTTTTTTTACTGGGAGCCTATTGAGCGTCCTAAAGCGCCCTAAAAAATTATATTTTGACCATTTTACTATTGTTATTATTATTATTATTATTATTATTATTATTATTATTATTATTATTATTTTAGTAGGACAAGGGGCGAGGGATATTTGCGCCAGCCTTTCACGGCTGGTGCAGAAGAAAGGCGCCACCCTTAAAGGGAGGCAAGAAAAAATTTTACTCCCAAAATGGGAATGGTGCATAAAATCTGGCGCCACCTCCCTCGGTTTGGCGAGCAGTTGCTCGCCAAACCGAAATTAATTTTTTTTAAAATTATTTAATTAATTTTTTAATATATTTATTTAATTAATAAAAGATAATTATAATAGATTATCTTCCAACTTAATACAAAGAAATTATCTTCCAACTCATTTAAACTAAAAGTAGTTTTTCCTTGACGAAAATAGTAATAAATGAATGAGTGATGTGTGTTCGTTTAATCAATTAATAAAGAAGTTACGTACTATAGCTTAGTTGCTCAAAATGACAAGATAACTAAGTCCTCATTGTCTATAGCTTTTCATAAGTTTTAGTTGTTATTAAATGATAATTTTTTAATTTAAGTTTAAAAAATTCTACATAATTAAATGATAAATTTTTTACGTAATTAAGCAACATTCTCCAAATATTTAAGTTAAAAAAATTATTATTTAACCGCCAAACAAATAAATAAATATACTTAAATAAATAAATGAATTAAATAAATTAAAGAATTAATTAAATAAATAAATTTAAAAAAGAAATAAATTAAATAATTTTTTTTTAAAAAAAAGGTGGCGGCCGGTTGGACCACCACCCAATCGGTTGCTCACCAAACCGGAGAGTGGCACATGATCGGTGCGCCACCCCCTTTAAAGGGGCAAAAAGGGTGGTGAGAAAAGTGCATGTTTCTCCTGCTAGCCGTGAAAGGCTGGCGCAAAAATGAGTCGCCCCCTCCATTTTTTTAAAAAAATAAATAAGAAGGTTAAAATAGTCTTTTTAAGTCTTTTTAAGGCGTTCAAAGATTTGCTGCTGAGCGTCCTTCTTGGTCCAATTTTTTTCTACCGAGGAGTGACACCAAACATTTTGAAGAACAATAAAAAAATAAATGAGAGATGGATTGAATGGCTACAAAGTGACTGACTGAATACTAAGACTAAAATAGAAGGCATATTTATAGGCTTTCTATACATGATAATTAACATTTTTTCACTATTAGATAATAATAAAAAAACTAAAGTTATCAACTACTCAACATTTATCATTCCAACCCTTAGCTATATCCCTAACTCATAAGGTAAACAAGGATTCCTCTTCTTGATGATCTCCTCTTCATGATGATTATCTTTAACATTCTCCCTCAAACTGAGTCGGGGTTGGAGACTTAGTTTGTTTTTTGAGTGATTCTGACCATGCATTGGACTGCTGTTCCTGATATATGAATGGTGAAAATGCAAGTGATGTAATGCGTGTTTTTGAGTGGAGTGCTCAAATTTTTGATTGTTAGAAATTGTTGAGAAACGAGATATATTAACATGTGGGAATACGTTTTG